ATGTAAAGACTTACCTCTCCAAACTGGTAGGATTCTGAAATCATATCCTGCCCTAATGTCTCTATGGAGCAGTAAGGGGTCACTTCCAGAGAAGCTAAGTGTCAGTATATCCTTGCTGTCCAAGGACAAGGCAAACTTCCTTTTGTTAACTGAGCAGTGTCTTGTCTTGTAAATGGCTCATTTTGACCCAACTCAGAACCAGAACTAAGCTAATGTTGGTCTGCCTTATAAGAGAGAGTAAAAAAAAAATTTTTAACTTTTATGTACTGACTTCTATTTAAAATTATAAAGATCATTACCTTCCTTTTAGTGCACATTACTTTTCAGTCCTATTGCTTGATTTCAGAGGTGCTGGTGATAGATCAGATTTGTAGAGGAAATAATTAGAAAAAAAAATACTTGGTGTGGGGAGACCTACAATGGGCTAACAGTGTTGGCAGTCAACATATTATCACCTTCATCCACAAGCAATGTGCTAGTCATAGCAAGGACTTTTACCTGGATGAGACTAGAGGGATGCAGCAATCATACATTTCTCTTTCTTAAGACATCCTTTTATTTAGATCAAAAGGACAATGGTCTTCATTCTAAGTGAAATGCAGTCCTACCTAAGTGAATCAGAATCAGAGACTCTTAGACAATGGGACTTTACCTTTTTCATTTACACACATGCTTTTAAAAAATTACTTCTGTCAACAAACTATCCACTAAGTTCGGTGCTCTGTGCTAAGTGCTAGGGGAAGAGATAGAAACAAATAAGGCACAGAATCTTCCCTCAGGGCGCTTCTAATCTATTGGGGATTTTAGGATATGCAGGGAGAACCAAGTGATTCAATCTATGTTCTTATGGCCTCCACTGGTTTGGATTGTGGCCTACTCAATGCCTTTTGGTAATTCTTATCAGTGTTCTCCCATTGATCCCTATCTACTTTTTATTCTATTTACCTGCGCTTTGTCATAGCTCACACACTGGAGAATGCAAATAGAGAGAAAAAAAGAGTGTGGCAAATGCAGAAGAAGAGGGTAAAAAGTACTCAATTTTGATAAGAAAATTCTCCTTTATAAGACTGTTGTCTTCTTCATAATTGTAGTGTAAATCATTCATGGTTAAAAGTTTAAAAATGGCACCAAAGGTTTCACAAAGACTGTGGATCATCTCACTTTGCTTTTAAACTAACTATAGACACTATGCAGGCAAGATCTTTCTGAAAGAGAGGAAATGGAGAATTTCCTTTGTAACAAGGCCCAGCTTAGATGACAACTGTAAGAAAACAGAAGCCTGTGGAATGTGTGGAATGAATGTAATATGATCCTTCCCAAGCGTCTGTTTGGGGTGTTTTGTGAAGTCTTGTTCTCTTTGCCAAATCCACAGCAATAATAGCTCTCCCTGAAGGCCTGTGTACAAATAGGATCCATTGCCTCGGCTTCCCATCCTTCATACACCCTTCAGAAGGGCGGTCAATGCTTGCTCTGGGTAAATCGGCTAAGAAACACGTCATTTTTGCCAGAGTCATTACAGGAGTGGTTATTATTTTTAAACCCCGAAATGCAGTCAGAATACTATCCCAAAGATCCCAAATACTATGCCAAAAGAAAGAAGAGAAATTTCTCCTCTTGCCTTAATACACACACACACACACACACACACACACACACACACACACACACACATAAATGAGATCCTTAGAATATACATATATATGCATGTATGTATATATACATATACACACATACATAAATATATATGTATATTCTAGGGATCTCATTACTTGATATTCACATTCCCTTCCTTGCCTCCATTCATAAGCATTTCCATATACATGTCCCTATTGTGTGAAGTATTTAGCTTTTTCAGATTAACTGCTTCCTCCTCTCATTGTTTATAATCCATCCTTCCCAACCCCTCTTCCATAAGCTGCCAAATTGATATTCCTTAAGCACAGATCTGAGCAAGTCACTCCTTTGCTCAAAATATTCTAATGGCTCCCAGTCAGTCCTGGAATAAGATATAAATTTAATTGTCTGATATGTAAAACTTTTCATAATCAATGTGGTCAATTTTTCTAGGTTTATTATATATTACTCTCCTTCATACACTCGATTTTCCAGTTAAATTGGACTATTTGTGGCTCCTCCTTAGAATATTCTAGCTCCCATCTCTGTTCCTCTACAGAAGCTGGTTCTCATGCCTAGAAAGCACTGCCTCTTCCTTCTTCCCTCTCTTTCTTTAATTCCTACCTCCCTTCAAAGCTCAGCTCAATTGTTACTTCTTACTTGAAGCCTTCCATGATTTCCCTGGTCATTCGTGATTCCTCCTCCCCAGAAACGACTTCATATTTATTGGGTACATATTTTGTATTCACTCATCTGTGTACATCTTGTGTTCCTCACTCTCCACCCTTCCCCCCATCTTCCCTCCCCCCCCCCCCCCAGCTTTTCTCTATTTCTGTTCTTCCTGGGCCATCACCAGTCATCTCCAAGTCTTGCCACTGGACTCCAATGACTCTGGAGGAGAGAGTGAGGTTGATGACTTTGCCCAACCCTGCCTCACTTAAATCCAATTCATGTGCAAGTCAAGACATCACCCTCATGATGTCATGGGTCCTCTTTGAGAATGTAAAACAAAACCACCACTCCTAAATATAAGCTCCTTGCAGCTAGGGATTGGTTTTATTTTATTTTTTTGTATCTCCAGAAAAGTGTACCCAGTAGTGACTTCAATAAATAAATAATTATCTAATTGAACTGAATTGAACAATTGACATTTATATAAAAATTTAAATTTGCAAAGTGCTTTATTTATGTTTTCTGATTAGAGCCTGACAACAACACTGTGAGGTGGCCACTATTGAGATTATTATTGTCCCATTTTATAGATAAGCAAACTAAGGCTCAGGGAAGTTCAATGACTTGCCCATGATCACATAGCTGGTAAATACCAGAGGATGACTGGAACAAAGATAACACAGTCATGAATAAAACACACTCATGTTTTGTCTGCCTTTCTGTCACCCAAACACTGTAGCCTTGACACCTTCAGTCATCGGAGCAATGAGGGAGTCTGCTTCATATTATGTATTTCCTTGTCCAGTTTATTATTCTTTGGATGCTTTTATCCTTCCTGTAGTGACCTCATCATTTATTTCTCCCTTTCTTTTTGGATGTGGAGATATTGGCTGTGTTTGTGTGATACTAAATTAGTAAAGAAAAAAAAATTAACGGAAAAGAATTAATCATACTATTTGGGGCAACATGTAGTCAAAACAAAAGAGTGACTGAATTTAAAAAAAATTTCATTCAATTACTTTGTTGTTGTATAGATATAGTTGTTTCAGAGTATAAAAAAAATCATCTGCCTTTGGCCTTCTTTAGCTAGGTTGTAGTGGTTTTTTTTTTAATCCCTCTCTGAATATCTCTCTCTCTCTCTCTCTCTCTCTCTCTCATACACACCCCCCCTCTCTTTCTCTCCCCTTTTCTCTCTTTCCCTTTCCCTCTCCTCTCTCCCTTTTTTCCTTCCCTTCCCCCCTTCTCTCTCCCTCTCTCCAACCCTTCCTCCCTCCCTTTCTCTCTCATCTACTAGAATAACTGTAAGTTTTTCTACTTTCACAGAATGTTTTGTACTAAATTCTTTTTCTTAGCAAGATTTGCTTATATCAATTAGTATCTATTCAGGACCAATCCTATGTTTCTAATGGAACTTTCTAATACTTCGGCTCCCTTGGGTGTCTATTGAATGTATAGCTTTTCTGATCAGTCATCAAGTTCAGGTCACTTCTCCAGTATATTGGTGCAGGGATGCATGGGATTGAAGTGTTGTAGATGGGAGCCAGGCTTTTCTTACTTTCTCTTATTAACCTTCTGACACATGGGACGCCTTGACCTTGTACACCTTCAGAATAACCAGGGAATTGGGGGTCATGTTCATTTTCCCCCTTTGTTTTATCTTTCTTTGAATATCATCATACTTTATGTCTTTTAAAAATTAATTTTACTTTATTTTCAGTTCTATATTCTCTCCTCCCCTTCTCATTCCTCTCCTCTACCCATTGAGAAGGAAAAAAAAAAGACCATTACAAATATGTATAGTCATGCAAAACAAATTCCTTCACTAACTATGGCAAGAAAGAAAGAGAGAAAGGAAGGAACGAAAGAAGGAAGAAAGAGAGAAAGAAGGAGGAAAGAAAGAAAGAAAAGAGGAAAGAAGGAAAATAAAATATGCTTCAATATACACTCTGAGTCCATCACCTCTCTGTTTGGAAGTGATAGCATATTTTATCCTCTTTATTCTTTCTTGAAGCAGTTGACTTAATTTAATGTTTTGGCTTATAAAATGATCATCTTGTTTTCAGAGTTTTTGAAGGGAATAGAGGGAGAAGGAAATCCAACAGCATATTTCATACATTTCTTTTAGTACCAATAACCAGTGTGGTTGTAGCTAAGTTTTGAGAAATCTTATAAAAGTCCACCATCAGTTAATAAAGCATTTAAATGCCTACTATGTACCAAGCACTGGGAAATATAAAAAAAAAAAGGGTTAGTACCTGCTTGTAAGTCTCATTGGGGAGACAACTTGAAAATAACTATGTGCAAACAAGATGGTTACAAGATAAATTGGAGATAATCAAAAGGGGAAGCACCAATATTAATAGGGATCAGGAAAGGCTTCTAGTAGAAGATGGGATTTTAGTGGAGACTTGAAAAAAGCCAGGAAAACCAGGAGGCAGAGATGAGAATAGATGGTGTTCCAGGCATGGGAAACAGCCAGTGAAAACACCCAGAGTCTGGTGATGGAGTGTCTTGTGAGAGGAAGAGCAAGGAGATCAGTGTCCTATCTTAGAGAACATGAGAAGGAAGCCATAGCCAGAATCTAGGTTAATTTCACATGTCTCTTATATGCATGACTGGATTAACCTTTTCTAGAAAAAAAATATTGATTTACAGTCCTGAATATCCTTCAGCTCCACTGCCAAATAATGCTGACTTTTATATTCTGCTTACAGGTTCTACTAACAACTGAAAAGGAATGAGAGACAAGATGGAGAAGCACTTGAAGTGGCAAAATTAAGTTAAAGTAAGAAATTCTAGAAGCATTGGAGTTATAAATAAAGTCTCCAGTATTTTCAGTCCTCTATCATTTTCTCTGTGCTTAGGGTCAGGTCTGGGTGGGAGCTCATTGAGGGTAACCTTTAAAATGTGATACTGCATTTGACAAAGCTTGGGGGGGGGGGGGGGGGAGAAAGAGGCTAATAAAGGAATTCACAGCTGGTACCTGAGGAATGGTTTAAAAAAAGTCATCAAATTCATCACTCCTGCTCCTGAAACCATATCATTTTCAGCAGTACGTGTGGGCTAGCAATCGTGGTATTCCAGGGTATTCTAGGCAAGAACCAACTCCTGGAATGTTTCCAAAGTATACTATTATTACAGGAAGTAGCAGTGTACTTCATTAAAATGTATATATGAAAGAAAGGTTTGGTCTTATAATGGTAATTCCTCAGAGAGAGACGGACCTTATCTATAAAGCTTACAGACTGCCCCACCCAATTCGCGTAACATCTCTGTTAGGGATGTAGGACCATGACTCATTATCCTCATTTTATCAAAAGGGGAACACAGATGGTGGCAACATGGTACAAAAATATTCATGCCAGTTAGTCGGTTATCTAGATGTTTTATTTGTTTGATGGCAAACAACACAAAATTTTGCCTGATTTGGCTAGAGCTTGACATCCTTTAGATATAATCAGCACTTACGTTGTGTCTATGCTTGATGAGTCACTTGACTTGACCCTTTGTATTACCAAATCAGATATTTTCAGTCAAACGTTTTTTGCTGTTCCTTGGACAAAAATATCTTTTAAATCCTTCCTTCCATTTTTTTTCCATTGGCAAATAAATGCTTTTGAGGATTGTTCCTTCTATAAGCTGGTAATGATTAATTCAATGACTCGGGATAGCTAGGACATGAATATGTAGTATGTGACATTGTTCCCAATCCTTTAATTTCCAAATGCTGTACAATATTGCTTTTCATCAGCTTTTTTCTCTCTTCTTCATTTACTTGTCTATCAGTAGAGTGTAACTACCTCCAAGGTAGGGATTGTTTTGTTATTGTCTTACAAGAAGCAGACACTTAGCAAATACTTCTTGAATTGAATCTGCAGCCTTGGAAATGTTGACTATCCCTGTCGTTTTGATACTCTCTTCTTTTTTTGGCTTCCACAACGTCATCCCTTTCTGGCTATCCTCCAAGAGTTTGACTACTCTTCTCTGGTCTCCATAACTATTTCTTTTTCACGTTCTTTCTCCCTAAATCAAGATATTCTCTGAGATTCTGTTCTCAACCATCTTCATTTTTTTCTATACTTTCTCCCTTAGTGCTCCCATCCATTCTAATGTCATCACTTGTCATTTTCTTTTCAATGACTTCTGCGTAGCAAACACTAGGCTCCAGCCTGGGTACAGCTTCATATTGATGGAGCTCAAATCTGGCATGTCCAAACTTGAATTCATCAGCTTGCCTTGCTAAAAGCCTTTCCTTCCTCCTAACTCCCCTATTTCTGTTGATGGTGCTGTCATTCTCCCAATTATTCAGTCTTGAAACCTTGACGTTATGTTTGACTTCACTTTCCTTCAATGACAATATCCAATCAGCCATCAGATGCTATCCATTCCACCACTACAACAGAATCCAGCTGCCTTTCATTGCCAAAATTCTACTATAACTGCACAGTCAAGTTCCTTAAGAAGAGATGAACAACTCAGAGTTTCTTCAGGGAGGAAGAAGGAAATCTTATCATCAGGGTTGTGCATTAGGGGGCACCGAGGTGGTGCAGTGGACAGAGCTCCTGGCCAGGAAGACTCATCGTCCTGAGTTCAACTCTGCCTTCAGACACTTACTAGGTGTGTGATCCCGGGCAAGTCATCTAACCTTGTTTGCCTCAGTTTCCTCATCTGTAAAATGAGCTGGAGAAGAAAATGGTAAACCACTCTAGCATCTTTGCCAAGAAATCCCCCAAATGGGGTCATGAAGAGTCATATATGACTGAAATAACTAAACAACACCAAATGCATTAAAAGATTACTTTGGAAGCTGTATGGAGGATGGATTGAAGAATGGAAAGAAAAGTCAAGGAGAACAGTTAAAAGGCTATCTGCAGAAGGCCAGCTGACCACTGGCATCTCTGCATGCTTCTGGGTATAGATAGCAGATAGCACATACACAGACACACATAGGAACTTGGGGACACAGACATTACCACTCCCTTGACAATGTTTCCAAAGGGAGGAAAATCAGCTGAGAAAATGAATGTGCATTCAAGTAATGTGCCTGCAAGCCCTGACCCACATCTATGCTATCCAATCCCACCTGCAAATCTCACTTGGCTCCTCCTTTGCTCTATCCTCACATACAATCTTTCTTTTTTCTTTTCTTTTCTTTTTTTACAATCTTTCTTTAAAATTGTTTTCTTTGATTAATCTGCCTATCCCAATACCCTTCCTCCTCACCACTGAGCAACTTTAAAAAAATTAAAATTAAGCCCTTAATACATTTATACATTCAGCAAAACAAATTATCCCGTTGACCATGTCCACAAATGTATGTCTCTTTCTGCATTTTAAGTCCATCACCTCTATCATGGGAGGTGAGTGGTGACGCAGAATCTTTTTATAGACTCGCAAAATATAATGGGCATCTTTTCCTGAGAGACACCAGCAATGTTCACTCTGTCTGCTTTGCTCGTATAACATCTATCACAGGCAAGAATGTGTGACTGAATGAATGAAAAAGCACATGTAAATAGCTTTCTATGTATCAGCATTCTGCTATTAAGTAATCAAAATACAAATATAAAAGTGAGATGCCCCTGATCTCAGTGGGCTTATATTCCAATAGGAGGATGCAATACATATAGACTGGTCTGACTAGTCATAGAGACGGTGAATTGTTATGTAGGGAAGCCTATCATCATGCACTTTTCAGAAGCAGTGGTAGGATTGATTTGATTACTGTTCCCAGAGCAAGAGGTGGAAAATTAGGGGAAGGGAGACCCACAAGGCAGGAGGGATGGTAAGATGATTGGGGGCATGATAAGATGGTCAGGTGGATGGCTGGATGGGATGTGACACATTTTCTGGTATAATGGATTTACACTTACACAATCATAAGTTGGGGGTAGCTGGTGGTGCATTGTAAGATTCATCTTCTGAGTTTGAATCCGACCTCAGGACACTTACTAGCCCCATTTGCCTCAGTTTCCTCATCTGAGAAATGAGCTGGGGAAAGAAATATCAAACCACTGCAGTATCTTTGTGAAGAAAACCCCCAAATAGGGTCACAAAGAATCAAACATGACTGAAAAACCAACTAAACTGACTGAATCATAAGTGAACCAGCTTTTATCATGGTGGCCCTGACATTCTCTCTCCAGGGAGTTTCTGGGCAGAAGAGTTTTTCCTATGCCTTCTCCTACCTCTTTAGGACACTGTACTTCTTTCTTCTCACCATATTGACAAGCTGTCCCATCTACTCTGACTTTTCCACTCACATAGCTACTACTAGATCAATACCTCATGACTGGTGAAAACCTGGACCATTATGACAGATTTCTATTTGTTCTTCTTGACTTTTCTCTCCATTCTCCAAACCATCCTTCAGACAGCTGCCAAAGTAATCTCACTGATCATATCGCTTCCCTTTTCAAAAGTCTCCCATGTTTTTCTAGTGCCTATGGAATAAAATGCAAACCGCTTAGCTCCTTTTGTATTCAAGGTCTTCCATAGTTTGGTTCCAACCTATTTTTCATACCATTCTCCTTATTGTACTTTTAATTCCTTTCTCTCATCCTGTTATTTGCCACTTCCTGAATTTCCTCGTGTTGTCCTCTTTGCTAACATTGGACGTCTTCAATATATCTACCTGTTGAAATCCTTTTCTTCTTTCAATGTCCAGCTTAGATTCCGCTTCCTCCACGAAAAATTCTTTTGTTTTCCACGGCTAGAAATGATATATAACTCCTCCATTCTCTCATGTCTCATGTCTCTCTTGCTGACTACTCCTAATCAATCAATCAATCAGTCAATCAGTCAATTAATCAATATTTATTAAGTGCCATCTATGTGCCAAGCACTGTGCTAAATGCTGAGCATACAAAAAGAGGCAAAAGACCACCTCTGCCCTCAAGCAGCTTACAATCTAATGGGGGATATAATATACAAACACATATATACAAAACAAGCTATATATAGGATAAATTGGAAATAATTAATAGAGAGAAGGCACTTAAGAGGGATTGGGGAAGACTTCTAATAAAAGACTGTAACTTGTGTTGTAGAGAGTTATTTGAGTCTCATCACCTCTCATAGTTTGTAAGCTTCTGGAGGAAAGGAACTACTTTTGGTATCTATGAATCATATCATGGTGCCTTGTATACATTTGGTACTTCATAATGTTTATTAAATTGAATTGTATTTTCTGATTCATTAAATCTTTTATAAAGTGCTGACCCGAAGGAGTTTGTGTAATAATAATAATAATTCAGCTTCAAAACTCTTTCCTTTTAACAAATTTGTGAGATAAATAGTGAAAGTATTATCATTCCCATAGCATATGATCATAGAAACATAGGATCTTAGGGATTCAGAACTGAAAGAGAACTTAGTACAACCCTCATTTTAGATGAAGAAATTTGGGCCCAGAGAGGTACAATCGATGATTTAAACAACCAAACATTTATTAAGTCCTTACTAATGTGCCAGGCACATGAGATACAAAGTGAAAAATAAACCAGTTCCAGATGTCAAAGAGCTTGCATTTCCCAGGAATGACTTACCTTAGGCCCCACAAGGAGTAAGCATCAAAGATTTAAGACTTGAAGCAAGGTCTTCTGATTCATGGTCCACTGCTCTATAGTTCACCACACTTAAGGTTTGTTTTGCTGTACATATATATCAGTCATTGCTCCTGCCAATACTTAGTCAGGTAGCAAGTTTATTATTAAATGGGAAAAAAAAACAATCAGATCAGTTTGTGTCTCTGATCTTGACGGAATGTGTCACTTTTAGGGATGAAAGACGGCAGGCAATGAATTTGGTCAAGGTTGGAATTTTGAAATGTTTGGCAATTTAAAAAAAATAGTTATTCATTATTTTGAGACTGGGTCTCCTTACCTCACTCAGGGTATCTCAGAAATCTCACTCTTGAGTAAACCAGTAGCCTAAGGTTCTCAAGGAGCAGGGACTACAGGTATGTGCCACCATGTCTGGGAGTTAATTTTTGATGATTTTTAATTATTGCCAAATCACCAAGTCCATCTTTTATTTCTCCTTCCAAAATTTTTGTGCTTTGTAGAAATAGTTCCTTTAAGACTGTGTAATGGGTCAAAGAAGAAAACATTTTTAAGATTCATATCTTGATTTCTAATCATTTAGGCCATGTTATTTTAAAGTATGCCAACACTTTCTCAATGTGGTCAGATTGGATCATAACTACTGTTACTACTCATAGTCAATCAACTAGAATTTATTAAGCACTTACTACATGCCAGACACTGTACTAAGCATTGAGAATGCAAATACAAGTAGAAAGAGAGTCCTTGGAAGTCAAGGTTATATTAGATTGTAAGCTCTTTTATTAGATTGTGAGCTTCTTGAAGGCAGGAATTGTCTTTTGTCTTTTTTTTTTTTTTTTTGTATCCTGAGAGCTTAGCAGAGTTACTAGTACACAGCAGACACTTGATAAATATTTGTTGATTGATATATCCTAATGGGAAAGACAACAGAATGCTGAAAGAGGTGAGTGTGTGGGGTGGGGTGGGATGGGGAGATGGTGGTAAGAGACAAAGTTATCCAGTTCAGAGGCATAATAAAGAAGGTCCAGAATGCATCCTTGGAAGAGAACAATGGTTGACCTAGGTGCCCTCCTTTATGGAGGCTTTGAGAGGAGTCATCCAATCTGGAGGTAGAAGGAGACCTTGGACCTGTCAGATAGATAGTAAGTAGCAAAATCAGAATTTGAACCCAGGACCCCTGATTCTGAATCTAGTACATTGGGTTTGGAATACTTCAGCTTATCACCAATATCAACCACAGAGTTGAGTGATAAGGCTTTTCTTCTCTTCTCAGAATGAACATAAAAGTGCCCATATACACACCCTTAGGTATATTTCCATCTGACTTTAACTTTTGGCCCCAGATCTCTTTGATTAATCCCTGCTTTTGATCTCCTTGTGTTCAGAAGGAGTGGGTGCATGATTACTACTTACAGTACTTATCATTCAGTGATAGGATGGTGGCCTACAGAGGAGACGCCAACAGCCACCCAGTGGAATGGCTGCTTGTTACTGAGGCATCTGAAACACAGGACTCTAACTGGAAAGAACTCTGACTTACCGGGAGAATGAAAAGCAGCAACATGCAGCTGGAAGTCATGATTATTTACCTTTCTGTTTTTTTGGATCTCCTGCTTACCCTTTGGGCTGTATGAGCGTATAGAATCTACGGAATAACACCAGGACAAAATAATCAACAAATCTTTATCACAGCAAAAAAGATGGTAAGAAACTATCCTTTAAATCTCACTTGCCTAACTCAGTGTCATGGCCCCATTGTACCTCCTTTTACTTCAATGTTTCTACATTAAGACAGGCTTTTTAGCAAGCCTCTTAAATCAGTGGGTATCCTTGGTCACAGAATTGTAGAGCTCAAAGAAATTTTAGGGATCATGTAGTTCATGGTACAGTGGATAGAGCTCTGGACCTAAAGTTAGAGAAGGTCTGAGTTCAAATCCAGCCTCAGACACTTACTAGCTGCTTGACTTTGGGAAAGTCATTTAATTTCTTTCTTCCTCTGTTTTCCCATCTATAAAACAAGGATAATAATAGTCTCTACCTCAAAGGCTTGTTGTGAGCATTAAATGAGTGAACCTTAAAGGGTTGCATAAATGCTTGTTATTTTAGAGAAGGAAAATTAAGACTTTAAAAAAGTTAGGTAATTTGCCTAAGTTACTAATAGAATCCAGAAATGGAAAAGACAGAATTTAATCCAATTCAAAATGAATCTCTCCAAATGCTCTTGATAAATGGTCATCCAGTCTGGGCTTGAAGACCTCCAATTATTGGGAACTAACTGTGTCATGCAGTAGGATTCCACTTGTGGATAGTTCTAATCAATGAATGAATGAATTTTAAAAAATTCATTTTTTCAGATGTTTACTATGTGCAAAGTATTATGGAGAAAATTAAGACAGTCCCTGCTCTCAAGAAGCTTCCATTCTAATGAGTGAGACAGCCCATATGAAAGATTTCCACTATAAATCAGATGGAAAGATCTTATGTTTCTTTTTTTTCCTTTTTGAAGCAATTGGGATTAAGTGACTTGCCCAAGGTCATACAGTTAATAAGTGTCAAATGTCTGAGGCTGGATTTGAACCCAGGTCCTCCTGACTCCAGGGCTGGTGCTCTATCCACTGGGCCATCTTGCTATCCCAGTCTCATAGTTCTTAAAGTCCACTGGCAAAACAGATGGTTGTACTTTTTTTTTTTACATAGTATTTTATTTTTTCCAATTACGTGTAAAGGCAATTTTAAACTTTCTTTTTTTAAATAAAATTTTGAGTTCCAAATTTTTTCTCCCTTCCTTCCCTTCCCTTCTCCCTAAGATGGTAAGCATCTTGATATAATGCCATCTACACTGATCAAATCCTATCTGTTTCTGGGGTTGAACCATTTGACAGTGCTAAGGACTGGTGGCAAGAACTCTCTTTTCTGGATCTTTGGTAGCTGTGGCTGGAACACCTGCAGGAGCAGTGACCAGGGTTTGCTTCCTAGGAATATTAGGAAGGTCTTTCCTTATGTTGGACCTGCAACTTTTTTCCCCTACAATTTCTACCTATTTCTTTTAGTTCTATAGCCTGGGACTAAGCGGTCTTTTAAATATTTGATGACTTATTGTATGCCTCCTAAGTCTTTTCTTTTTCATAAGAAACAACCCAAGTTCCTTCAAATGGCCATCACATGGAAAGATATTCAGTCTCTTCCCCACCTAGCTGTCTTCCTCTGTATACTCTCTTAGCAATGTTCTTCCTATATAAGGAAGATATAAAGGCCTGAGCACAATACTCCAGATGTATTCTGAAGCAAAGCAAATACAAACACTGTCTTCCTCTCCAGCCCCCAAATAAAACAAAACCAAAAAGCAAAAAAGCAAAACTTCGAATTGAGAATGGTATTAAACTTTTGAATTATGATCAAAAATATTATTTTCCAAGAGGTCAGAAGCCTTATTATCCTCCTGGTTCACGTGGGCTGAGAGGGAAGCCTCTGAATCTGGGGATTAAGCGGGGCATGCCAGAAGGAATCAATCCACATAGGACCCCCATTCCCAATCTCCCTTCCCCCCATCTTTCACCTTTATTTCTTCTCAGGAGGAAGCTTCCATCTTCTTCCTATCTCCCACTACTCTGAGCCTGAGAGTTAATACCCATGAACTACTTGTCCTTTAGACATGGACATCATGCAACCAAAGACTTTTCAATGCAACTGAGACAACTTGGAGACAACAAACTCTCCTTTTAAATATTTACACATATCTGGCTTTGGAACCATAAAGTTAACTATATATTAGGGAAGGTCTTTCTTTGCATAAAACATCTGCAAATATATATTTTAAATATATTATTATAAACATATATTTATGTTATGTACACATTTTAAATATATTATATGCTTGATGTGCATTATTTTTGCTTTACAATCATTTAAAGATTACCCCTACTCCACGAGAAGTCTCTTAGAACAAAGTAAAACAATTAGCAAAAGTCACAATATAGTGACCTCATCTGAAAGTTCATGCAACATTTCACATCTGAAGCACTGCCAACCTCTCTATTTAAAAAAAAAGAAAAAGAAAAAGAAAAAAAATTGAAGTTAGAGGACTTGGGCTTTAATCTTCTCTTTGATACTTACCTGCAAGAAGTTGGGCAAGTTATCATTTCTGACAAGGACTCAACGAGGATTGGTCCAGGTGCTTTCTCAGTCCCTTCCAGCTCTAAATCGCTGATCCCCCAACTTTAAAAACAAATGGTCTTGCTACTCTTCTCTCAAATATAACTATCCAAATTAAAAATAACACATTAATCTTTTTTTTCCTTTTAGGGAATTGGGGTTAAGTGACTTGCCCAGGGTCACACAGCTAGTGTCAAGTGTTTGGTCTGAGGCCGGACTTGAACTCAGGTCCTCCTGACTTCAGGGCCCGTAGTCTATCCACTGCGCCACTTAGCTGCCCCATAACACATTAATCTTGAGGTTTTCTTTCCTTCTTTCACTTTCTCTGCAACCCCAAGACTCCAAGGAGTCCAGACATATCACACTATGTCATGCAGAAAGCAATATTTGGCATGGCAAGAATGAGCTATTTATGGATTAAGAATATAAATGATTCTTGGGAAGATCAGCCTTTTTAACTCAATCTTTTGATGTTAAGATTTTTTTAAAAGATGTTTTTAAAATGATGTTTTATTTTTTCCCCAGTTAGGTGTAAAGACAATTTTGAACATTCATTTAAAAATTTTTTTGAGTTCCAAATTTTTTCTCTCCCTTCCTCACCTCCCTCCTCCCTCACACAGTAAGCAATTTGATATAGGTTATACATGTTCAATTATGTAATACAAAAGATTTTTTTTTAGCATAGCTCTTAGATCAAGAGATGAATGCAAAGCCAGATCCAAGTATAGTGTCTACATCACTTGTATCTCAACTCAATAGATTCATAGAATGTTAGAGATAGAAGGGCCCTAAGTGATTATCTCTACTCCACCTGTCTCATTTGAAAGGCTGATTGTGTGACTTACCCAGGTTCACACAGCTAGTTAGTGAGAGAGCCAATATAAGAATACAGGTCTCCAGAATCCCAGTCAACTTAATGCTCTTTTCATTATCCCTCTCTGCTTGGGACAACATTATTTATAGCAGTGTTTTTTGTAGCAGCAAAGAACTGGGAGGAAAGTGGGTTCCCATTGATTGAGGAACGACCAAACAAATTGTGGGATATGAATTATTATTGTACCATGTTGTTAGGCAGTCATTCAGTACTGTTTGACTCTTTGTGGGCATGCCAATACTATCCATGGGGTTTTATTGGCAAAGATACTGGAGTGGTTTGCCATTTCCTTCTCTAGTGGATTAAGCTGGCTCCAAGAAACTATAGCATGTGTGGTAGCCATACTCTGCTAAATGATCTCAGCAGACTGGCTAAACTAGGTTGAGGGTAATGGACAGGTAATGGACTCCATTGATGAGTTAGAGGGTGTTTACCCAAAGCATGTGAAGACTTCTCCTGGTGGAATAGGGGATTGAGAACAATGTGTTCCAATGGCCATGAAGGTGTCTGAAGTAGGAGCTGTGGAGAACTTGGAGCTTGGTTAGGCGTCTAAGATGCCAGGGTCATCTACTGCATCTGACTTGGCCAGTCATCCTGACTTTTGTCTTGCTAGTGGGCTCTCTTAAAGAGAGATGAGGCTAAAGACTTTGTGTAGCTTTGCCTCACTTAAATCCAAGTCACATGAAAGTCAAGCTATCACCCTGCAATGTCAATGGTCCTCTTAGAAAATGAAGGATGAACAGCAACAAGGCAAACAGTGGTTAAGTGACCTGCCCAGGGTCACTTAGCTAATAAGTGTCTGAGACCAGATTTGAACTCAGGTCTTTTTAATTCTAGGTTCAGTACTCTGTTTACTGAGCCACCTAATTATCTCTTACTGTGCCATAAGAAATGATAAATATGAAGATTTCAGAGAAACATGAGAAGGCTAGTATGAAGTGATGTGGAATGAAGTAAGTAAATCCAAAAGAAAAAATTACATGATGATTGCTATAATATAAATGAAAACAAAATTTCAGATTGCTGATCAATGCAGTGTCCAATCAGACTGATGGTGAAGCATGGCTTCTGTGTCTCAACAGAATAATGTGAGGAATAAAGCATATGTTTTCAGAAAGGCCAATGACTGAATCTGTTGTGTTTGACTGTACTTATGTCTGTCAGTCAGTCAATAAACATTTATCAGGTACCTATTATGTGCCCAGCATTGTGCTAAGATCTGTGTTACAATAGAGGGTTGTATGGTAGAGTAGAGTTATTGGGAATTGACAGTAATGCAAAAAAAAAAAAGACTATCAATGAAAAACAACAAAACAAATAAAACCCATAAAAACAAATGTTTTAAAATTATTAAAATTATTGTTTATTAATCCTCTCCCCCCTTTTTTTATAACTGCCACAAGCAAAAAAGAAAAGAATTGTTCTATGTGTGTTTTACCTAAGATTCTTCTCTAACACATCAGCCCTCCAGGTAATCTTTGCTAGAAAATTGGGATATACAGACAACTTCACAACTTCACTTTATTTTAGACACGAATAAAAACTCAGACATCTGTCAACACCAATGATGACAGGATTAAAGATTTCTGAAGGCAGCGGTGGAATCATAATTGAGCAATAGCAGGGAAAGTGGGTCCCTCCTTCTCAGTGCTTCTGGGTGACTCTTTTTTTTTTTAC